TATTATGTATTATCTATCAGTTTATTATTGTTTTTAATTATATTTATTCATCTATTTTCTGATCTTTACCTAGCCTGGTTCTCCGGTGATGAAAGTGCTACACTTGGCGGACACGCACTTCGACCCTCTGTACATGCCCGGAAGCAATGCCGAGTGCGGAGAGAAATTCTTCTGTTGTCGCGAGTCCAGCGGTGAGTAGGAGATAGAGATCATTAATGTAAAGATTATGGAATAAGGTTGTGTATATAAAAAGATAATAACAACAAGAACGAGCAATAAAAGAGTGGCAATAGCAGCAACAGAGACATCTGGTGGGTACGAGGGAAGTTAGAAACTAAGATAATTTCCGTTAAAAAAAAAGACAGTAGGTGTCCACACAGGAGACTCGACACGAATATGATACTCAAACAAACACGAAAAACAAATATAACGCAGAGATAGATAGATAGATAGAGAGAAAGAAATCCGAAGACGGAGAGAGATTTAGATGCACACGACAGAAATTAAAAGCGAGATTCCATAAAAACAAACTTGTATCCCATTTTCTAAACGAGACCTCAAAGACTAATATCCCGTTTTCTATGTCGTAGGGCCCCTCGACCGACCAGAAGCTGCAGCGGGGAAGTGGGGGGACTATCGTAACTGTGATGCTCCCAAGTGGCTCTTGCAGGCTATGTACGATCACATTGCCAGCACATACACGGTGAGTCAACCTGTACTTTTTTTTCCTTTTTACCTTTCACTGAATTATCTGGCCGATTCTGAGCAAAACCTAACAGAGTTATAGATGGATTTTTCTATTTGGATTATCAATAGCGAAAAGACCTTCGGCATATTCGTGCGTCTTCTCGTTCTTCCCTTCGTAGTTCCTGTTGCAAGCTACCTTCCTCCATCGTATACAAAAAACCTCTCCACTTCCACCAGGACCTCGATTTCATCATCTGGACCGGCGACCTCGTGCCACACAACGTCTGGAACACCTCGAAGCAGGAGAACTTGGAAGTGATCAGGGAGACAGTGCAGATGCTGCGAGAGAGCTTCCCAGGGGTGCCCGTCTTCCCGGCGCTTGGGAACCACGAGTCAACGCCTGTCAATTCGTAAGCTGTCGTTGATAATGATAAGGATAGTGATAGTAACAGTTGTAGAAATAGTATTAGCGGTAGTAGTGGTGGTAGTAATGGTAGTAATAGTAGTAGCAGTAGTAGTAGTAGTAGTAGAAATAGTAGTAGTTAGTAGTAATAGTAGTAGTAGTAGTAATAGTAGTAGTAGTAGTAATAGTAATAGTAGTAGTAGTAATAGTCGAAATAATAGCATAAGAAGTAGTAGTAATAGTAGTAGTAGTAGCACTAGTAGGTATAATAGTAGCATTAGCAATAATGGTAATGGCATCAGCAGCAACCATAACAACCATGATGACAATGCTATGATTATGATATCGAAATCAACAATAATGACAATTATGGTGAAATAATACTGATTATATCTGCTGGCACGAAATATAATTACTTTTGAAAGTCACAAAAACGGTACTAGAGGCAAATGCTATTCACGGAATCTATTGGTACGTAAGTAAATGCTTATCCAGGGATTCGTTTGGCCAGAGAAATAATTAGGATGAAAATACGTTTTAGAAATACAAATAAACGTTATATGCGAACACACGCAGGAAATTATGTACAAAAAACAAACAAACAAACAAAGAAACTAAAGTGACGGTGTCTTCAAGACATATTTCAGCATTTCCCAAATATCATTACACATCAATTTATGTTTTAGTGTAATAAAGCTCCTTAGTGATAGTACACTTTTCATGTCTGTGCATAAAAAGGAATAAAAAATGACGCCAGCTAGCCAATCAACATCGATGTAGCGTAGAAAAGCGATGGACAATGACGAAATTACGTCGCCAAAAAAAAAGAAAAAAGAAAAGAAAAAAAGAAAGAAAGAAAAACAAAAAACGTGAATACGACCCGCTTCTCCCACCGTGGTTGCGACGATCGAAGAGGCATGACAATTACTCTTAATTCCTCTTTCAACAGATTCCCCCAGCCGTACATTGAGAACGAATTCGACATCTCTTGGCTCTACGACGAGATGGCAACCCTGTGGGAGACGTGGCTGCCCCAGGAAACCGCTACCACCGTGGTTTATAATGCTTGTTACTCCACCCTGGTCAAACCGGGACTGAGGGTCATTTCCGTGAACTCCAACTACGGATATGGGTTTAACTGGTCGGTATATATATGTGCATGTTGTAGGTGTTGTTTCATAGGCATAGGAGTATATAGGTGTGTGTTGTAAGAGATGTTCATTTGTTTGATACTTTTATAGGTGTAATGTTGTGTATTTTTGAATATGTATGTTGTGGCAGCCTATTCCAGATGTATGTTGTTCTTATATGTCTTTGCCCACTCTCTCTTCTCTCCTCCCATCTCTCCATCCCCTTCCTTCTCTTTCATTTTCTTCCCCTTCTCTTTCCACTACCCCCTTCCCCTCACCCGCCCCTCCTCTCTCTCCTTCCTCTCCCCTTTTTTCTTCCTTTCCTCTCCTTCCTCCCCCTCTCCTCTCCTTCCCTCCTCCTTTCCCCTCCCTCCCCTCTTCTTCCCTTCCCCTCTCTTCCTCCTCCTCTTCTTGCCTCTCTCAGTCGTCCTATAGAAGGGTAGCCAAGCACATGTACGATACACACAGTGTAATCGTCGCTGTATTCACCCTCTAGAGCGTGAACACTTTACCTCCTCGATGCACTGTACAGACATACCTCTCATGTGCGTGCATTCCTCAGGTGTGATGGTAATACGCACGACACACCCTCATGTGCTGCATGTTCCTCAGGGAGGTACGTACAGACACACCTCATGTGCGTGCATGTCCTCAGGTGGATGGTATACGTACAGACACACCCTCATGTGCGTGCATGTCCTCAGGTGGATGGTATACGTACAGACACACCCTCATGTGCGCCACATATCATGTGCGTGCCATGTCCTCAAGGTGGATGGTATATTACACCGCACACACCTCATGTGGCGTGCATGTCCTCAGGTGGATGGTATACGTACAGACACACCCTCATTGTCGTGCATGTCCTCAGGTGGATGGTGATATATGTACAGACACACCCTCATGTGCGTCGCATTGCCTCAGGTGATGGTATACGTACAGACACACCCTCATGTGCGTGCATGTCCTCAGGTGGATGGTATACGTACAGACAGGACACATGTGCGTACTCATAGTACACTCCCTGGCATTGGCGTGGCATCCTCAGGTGGTTATACGTACAACACACCCTCAATGTGCGTAATGTCCTCAGGTGGATGGTATACGTACAGACACACCTCAATGTGCGTGCATGTCCTCAGGTGGATGGTATACGTACAGACACACCTCATATGTGCGTGCATTGTCCTCAGGTGGATGGTATAACGTACAGACACACCTTCATTGCGTGCATTCCTCCAGGTGGATGGTATACGTACAGACATACCCTCATGTGCGTGCATGTCCTCAGGTGGATGGTATACGTACAGACACACCATGTGCCAATTGCGCTGCATGTCCTCAGGCGTGGATGGTATACGTACAGACACACCTCATTGTGCGTGCATGTCCTCAGGTGGATGGATAACGTACAGCACATGTCCTTGCAATGGCGTGCATACCCTCAAGGTGGATGGTATAACGTACAGACACACCCCATGTCTCATGTGTCGTGTGGATGTCACCTCAGGTTGGATGGTATACGGTACAGACACACCCTCTATGTGCGTGCATGTCCTAGGTGGTATGGTACTACCCTAAGACATTACCTCATGTGCGTGCATGTGCCTCAGGTGGTATGGTATAACGTCAGGTGGTACTGCAACCCTCAGTGTGGCATTGGATGGTATACGTACAGACAACACCTCATGTGCGTGCATACTCCTCTGCATGTGGATGGTATACGTACAGACATACCTCATGTGCGTGCATCTCAGGTGGATGGTATAATACGTACAGACACACCCTCATGTCGTGCATTCCTCATGTACAGACACTGTGTGCATACCCTCAGGTGGATGGTATACGTACAGACACACCCTCATGTGCGTGCATGTCCTCAGGTGGATGGTATACGTACAGACGTCATGACATACCCTCATGTCGTGCATGTCCTCCAGGTGGATGGTATAGCGTACAGACACACCTCAGGTGCGTGCATACCTCAGTGGATGGTATACGTACAGACACACCTCATGTGGGCATGTCCTCAGGTGGATGTATACGTACAGACACACCCTCATGTGCGTGCATGTCCTCAGGTGGATGGTATACGTACAGACACACCTTCATGTGCGTGCATGCCCTCAGGTGGATGGTATAAGTACAGACACACCCTCATGTGGCGTGCATGCCTCAGGTGGATGGTATACGTACAACGACAACCTCATGTGCGTGCATGTCCTCAGGTGGATGGTATACGTACAGACACACCCTCATGTGCGTGCATGTCCTCAGGTGGATGGTATACGTACAGACACCCTCATGTGCGGTGCATGTCCTCAGGTGGATGGTATACGTACAGACATACCCTCATGCCGGTAATACGTACAGACACACCATTCATGTGCGTGCATGTCCTCAGGTGGATGGTATACGTACAGACACACCCTCATGTGCGTGCATGTCCTCCAGGTGGATGTATACTACAGACACACCTCATGTGCGTGCATGTCCTCAGGTGGATGGTATACGTACAGACACACCCTCATGTGCGTGCATGTCCTCGGTGGATATACGTACAGACACACCCTCATGTGCGTGCATGTCCTCAGGTGGATGGTATACGTACAGACACACCCTCATGTGCGTGCATGTCCTCAGGTGGATGTATACGTACAGACACACCCTCATGTGCGTTCATACCTTCAGGTGGATGGTATACGTACAGACACACCCTCATGTGGCTGCCATGTCCTCAGGTGGATGGTATACGTACAGACACACCCTCATGTGCGTGC